CACCTCTGTCAACGTCTAAATGCCAACTTGAAGATTCTTGGCAAAACTTACTTTTACTTATTTCATCATAAGTTACATGTATAAATTTTTATACCATTGACTTGAATCTTACATTAAAGTATATGTATGAAAATCAGTAGCAGATATACTCTTTTAACGATATCTTACAAGGGATTCTTTCTCAGCAGGATATTGAGAACGTGAAAATTTTAAAATGCATTGCCAACAAATATCAACACATTGCTTATGAGCTCTTATAGACAAGTAACTTGCAGCATTGACACATTATACAGAAATGTAAAGGTTTTAACCTTCCCGTGGGCCATTTTGAACAACATTTGAAAAAAATCACGTCACCGCGTCCGCACTACTTTTTAGACGTTGACAGAGGTACAATAAGTGGAACGATAACTATGGGTAGAGATTGAAGCAGTCCCAGAAAACAGTCCCCGGGGCAGCTTTGGGACCGCACTTGGACTGCTTTGGGACTGCTCTCATCCAAAAGACCGATTTCCATGTTCAACAGTACAGTAGTGAGATTCGAACCTGCGTATATATATGCGAGATTGGGCATGGGTTTTCGCATTAAAACAAAAGAACAAACAAACAAAAACAGGAAAGGCACAACATTCATAAGTACGTGTAACTCGTTCTTCGAATTGTTGTTCTTTTTATATATAATTTTATAGAAAGAAGTACAATTAAAAAGTACAGTATTATAAATTTTATGTCAAACTTACATTGCTCTCCGTCACAGTCATAAATTTTTCTATCGGAAGGGGCATTTTGGTCAATTTGGCATTGAATTTCCTTGAAAATTATATCACCATGTACATGTATCGATCGACTTTCCTAGTATTTAATGCTTTTTATAAAAAATAACCCGATGTTATGAGCACAATACAAAGCTATTATCTGTCGAACAATATACCAACTGTACTTGTGCAGAGTGCCAGTATGATATGATGGTATCCCAGATGCATAATACAGGGTTTGGGGGTTCCTGGGCACGATATTCTGTTACGATCTACAATGTATCATGTTACAGCATAATTAGAAGACCTGCATCTCTTTCAAATGCATGTCTTTGAATAAAGCTCATTGACATACTGAGATAAAGCGCGATATTCAGTTCGATATAAATATTCCATTAGGGGAAGTAGCAGGAGAGGGGGGGTCCAAAGATGCTCTTGACAATGCACTTAGCTTAAGCGCAATGTTCTTCTTAAACCTTTTTGATAAATCACGTGTATTTATTTACATCCATAAAATATTTCATATATCTCCTTTATCATGCCCCCGTAAACGAAGTTTTGGGGGTATATACTAGTAGTTTATGTCGCGTCCGTCCGTCTGTCTGTCTGTCTTTCTTTCTGTCTGTTTGTCTGTGTGTCTGCAAAAACTTTAACCTTGTCCATGAATTTTGATTAAGTGAAGCTATGACTTTCATATCTCACATGTGTATTCCTTGTGACAAGACCTTTCCTTGGGTACCACCAAATTTGACCTTTTGACCTTGACCCTAGAGTTTGACCCACTTTTACACAAAAATTCCAAACTTTTACTTTGGCCATATCTTTTGAACAGTAGATACCAGGACTTTTATACTTCATATTTTTTTTTGTGGCAAGACCTTTCATTTTAGTACCAACAACTTTGACCTTTTGACCTTTACCTATGAAAAAACTCGAACTTTGGCTATAACTTTTGAACGATAAGAGCTAGGGCTTTCATACTTACATATGTAAACCTTGTGAGAAAGCGCTTCATTGGATACCAAGAACTTTGACACTTTGACCTTAACCTTGGAATTTTACCTACTTTTCAAATACAACCTTGAAAATAATTTTTGAAGGGTTAGAACTAGGGCTATCATACTTCATATAAATTCTATATTTCATTTGACAAGACCTTTCATTTGATATCAAGAACCTTGACCCTTTGACCTTGACCTTGGAGTTTGACCCATTTTCACACAAAAAATCCAAACTTTTACTTTGGCCCTAATTTTTAAACGTTAGATACTAGGAATATCATATTTCAAATATCAATTCTTTGTGGCAAGGCCTTTCAATTGAAATCAACAATTTTCACCTTTGACCTTGACCTTGGAGATTTCATATTTTAAAAACTTAAAACTTGGCCATAACTTTTGAAAGGTAAGGGCTAGGGCTTTCATATTTCACATATGTAATCCTTGTGAGAAGACCTTTCATTGGATATCAACAACTTTGACCCCTTGACCTTGGAGTTTGACCTACTTTTTACAAACTTTAACCTTGGTCATAACTTTTGAACAGTAAGGACTAGAGCTTTCACACTTCACATATGTAATCTTTGAAATAAGGCCTTTTTTTAGAAACCAACAATCTTGACCCTTTGACCTTGACCCCAGAGTTTGTCCTACCTTTTAAAACGTTAACCTTGGTCATAATCTTTGAACAGGTGGTGCTAGGGTTTTATATTTCATATTTGAAAAATTGTATTTCTTGTGAAAATACCTTACTTTAGGTACCAACATAATATGTTATATAATATAATATATTATTTGATCTGCATTTGAGAAAACTTAACCTTCGCTATGTTGCCATACAGGGGCATCTGTGTTTCACAAACACATCTTGCTTTAAAAAAAAAACAAGCATCGTTGTTAATCAGTTAATAAACACCGCTAAGCAAATCATCAATATAGATTTCTTAATTGAGCAGCGCCTCTGCATCAGTAAAACAAAAAAATAAAGCGATGTCATATATAATATTTAAAGTACTTATAATTATATAAGCAATACTAGTATAATCTCTTTCTTTGTTTATAAGTAACGTTACAGCTCAGTTGAAAAATTCCCGCTCACACAAGTAGATTTACATTTTTTTCTTGCAAGAGCTGAAGCATTAATTTCCTTGCTCTTTACAGAGAAACCATTTTATTGTTTGAACAACAGTACATTATTTCAATTTCTATCTAAACGGAACGTACTATGCTTCCGTAAACTTTAAAATCCTATATCAATTTTCTGCATCATCATTTCTTTTCCCTTTCCCTTTGGATACAATGTATGTGTAAATATAACATGTTCAAAAAGTTGGAACCTGTGAAGATTCAGAGCCGTTTTCAAAAATAGATCTAAGCAATGTCAAACAAGATGTATATGTGAAACTTTGATGTCCGTATGGCAGGTTTTTGCAAACGTTATATCAAAGTTTCTCAAATGCAAATCAAACTCCAGGGTAAAGAATTGAAAAATTTTGTTCATACCCAAAGAATAAGATGTGTTTGTGAAACACTGATGCCCCTGTTTACAAATGCAAGTCAAGCTAAAATCAAGATCAAAAGGGTTGTTGGTAAAAGATAAAAAAATAAACCTGTGAAATATGAAAGACCTAGTTCTAACTGTTCAAAAGTTATGGCCAAGGTTTAAAAAATGGGGTAAATTCCAAGGTTGACGTTACATGTATAAGGTCAATTATATTTGCACCCATTGAAAGGTCTTGTCATAATACACCCCACTTTTTTTGCCAACAATACTTTGAGTATTCATTGAAAGGCTGGTTGCCCCCCCCCCCCCACTTTATACTAAAGGAAAGTAATATGAAGGAAATATAGTATTTGAAGCTTAAAAAATGGATATTGAAAGTTGAAAGGAATTGGTAGTGTGAAAAGTTTGGTCAAACGAAATAGGATTTTCGACTTTGGGCAGTTCCCCCCCCCCCTTTTTTTTTTTTGCTTGTCAGGTAAGTAAAAAAAAAAATCTGTGGCTGACCCCTCCACTTTCAAAATCGATGCTACGTGCCTGTAATAAGAACAAATTAAGTGTTTAGTAAATGTATAAAAGCCCTAGCACCAACTGTTCAAGAATTATGATCAAGCTAGATTAAAGTTTGAAAATTTTGTGCCAAGTGGGTCAAAAGATCAAATATCAAAATACCCAAAGGACATCTTCGCTAGCCAAGGGTTTTTGGTATGCTAATTTTTATCAAGTTGTGATTGGAGTCGAACATCATCGTTCGAGCGACCAATCAGCAATTACATGTGTTGTATTTCGTAAAAGACGATATCTGCGTTCGGGATACATCTCGATTCTTTAATCTCGGAAATGAAAAACGCAAGTAAACATAGTAAACTAGGTGCAAAACATGTGATGAAGAATCTGAAGATGTTATATTTGTATTTCAAATGACAAATAAATATAACTCAATACATTCTTGTGGTAATTGTTCTTTTAAATCTTGATTTTGGGCAAAAACTATAAATTCTCCCGTATTTTCTATAGGAGGGGGGGCATTAAATTAACATGCTTGGAACCTCCTAGCATGATTATGTCCTAGATAAATGTACATGTACACATATTATACCGGAATGGATCGTTTACGGTTTGTATTTCAATTTCCCCATGTAAACATCCTACTAGCGACAGTCCACATACTCATAATACTGTGTGTAAGTACTTATAATTATACGCTTGTAATCATTGCGTTTAAACTTGGGTTCCATAGACTTGGAAAAATAGATTCTGTACATAAATCTATAGATAAAGTAGGTTTGTTGCTTCTTAGCTCGCTGTAGTATTCACGCAACAATTAACGCTGTACTAGAGGGTTTAAGCACCTTGACTGACTTGAGGAAGCGAAGCTATATTTAACTTTTCTGTGAACGTTGTTGAAGGCAAAGTTTAATTTTAAATGCTCTCGCACTTTTTATTAAGGTGAATGGTTTGAAATAAGTCATTAACTTCAAGTAATAGTGAGATCATTGTAAGTAAAATTTTTAAATTACTGGTCAAGAAAGGCCAGCAGAGAAATTCTTTTTCATGCAAAGGGATTTAATTAATTGCAGTAAAACTTGAAAGTCAATTTCTGCTTCGTTGAGAGTAAGTGCATTAATAAATGTATAAGCTACATTGTATATCATTTACAACATGATTTTACGGTGCAGTGAATTAAGTTCCTTGTACATGTAAGCAAATATTGTGTCCGCTATCTTGTAGGTAACACAATGTACATATACTCGATGTAGGTGACATACTTTAGCTATCTAGATCGGTGATGGTGACCTAGAATGCCATTAAGTGTTCTGCTGTTGTCGCCACTTCGAAAACCTAGTGGAAACCACTCAACGGTACAAAGAATCAGGTAACGGGGAAAAGTCGAGTCCACGTAAATCAGAGAAGACACGCAACTGATCAATACAGATATAAGTATAGTCCTTTTCTAGCTCTTTTTATGCATATGACAATAGGCTTACAAAGAAATATCAATCACTTTACTGGACCATCTCCAGGTTTCTAAAAAGGAGATTGCAGGAAAGGTCTCAACCAAAACGCAAGTTCTTTTCAAAGGGTTCCAATTTGGGTGGTTTCTCAGCATTTATCGTCACACTCAAGCATTAAATCGATTGTTAATGTAAGGTTTTTAGCGAGGGATTATTTCATTTCTATAAGACGTCGCCATACAGGTCCTATACAAGGGAAGAGGGGGAGGGAATTGAAGATGAAGGGAGCAGAGTTATGAGGGAGAAGGGTAGAAAGACGGTGAGGTGGGAAAGAAGGGGGGAAAAGGAAAATGAAGGAGGTAGAAAGGCACAGGGAAAGGATAGGAAAATTGTTATTTTTATCCCCCATATTACTCCTGCATGTTTTACGAAAATGTATTTTAAATCGATCAATTAAATTTTGATTTCAAACATACGTGTTTCATGTCTATGCTGAGTGGGGTTTACTTTTAGATAAAAATTTACCATGTTTAAATAAAGTGTTTCTTTTTCAATGACATGCCATTACAAAAATTAAGTGGACTGGCGCCATAAAATGAAAACCGCTTAAGGTACATCATTTAAAATTAAATATTTATTCGTATCATCTTTTCTGCATAAAAAATAAAACAACAAAGAATATATTCGATGGTTATTATAAAAGTCCTTGTAAGACATGTTTTATCTTTAAATAAGTTTTCAGTGTTTTTGTAATTATAAGCAATTGTATACCATTGTATAACGTCTTTCTTAAGAGAGAAAGAAAAAAAGAGGGTTTATGTGGATTTAATTCAATTAAATCAACTGCTTGTTCATGATTTTATTAAGTCTTAGTTAAAAAAAAAAAAACAGGAATACTTCTTTATTTAACTCTGGCTAAGGTTGGCGCGGACAACGTTATTAAAAGTCATAAAATTCAAAGACGGAAGTGAAACCATGACACGCCTTTATGTATTTGATGAAAAATCGTCTTTGAAAAATGTTAACACTTCTTTTGATTTTTTTGTTACTTATTCCTTTTTAGATTTGAATCATAGCATTAATTTTATCGTATCTGTCTACGAACAGTTGAAAACTCCATACCATGTACAATGAAAAAAAAACTTATCAAAAGTTCAAAACCTGTTATTATGTAGATCAACTTCTTTTTTTCAATTAACTTACAGGACCCATTTAGAATCCGGAAATCTGGTTTGTCAGGAGTGGGACCCGGCAGATTTTGATAATGAAGATGAATTTCTTAGAAAGTTGGCGGAAAAGAATGTGGATCTCATCATTGCATTACATGCATATAAAGCTGGAAAGTTTCTCTCGGATAAAGGTATAAATTTCAATACTAGGGCTGGGTATTGGCCCGAGATTTCGTATTGCGATATATTGCGATATTTGTAACTGTATTGCGATATGTATTGCAATATTTTCAATGTAATTTAAATGACATTTTCTTACTATATTTACTTTAATTTAGAATGTACATAAATATGATAAGTAACCAACACAGAAAAAAAAAATCTTGATCATTTTATTAAAGTTATGCTCTGAAATGTTCCCACAAAACAACTTCTGTCTTACTGTTTGGCTTAATAACAAACTTTCATAAGTCCATTTTTATATTTAATGACAAAATTCCTTAATCTAAGCATATTGCCAATATATCGATATTACAAAATCATATTGCGATACGATATTTTTTATCATTGTATTGCAATATATTGAAAAATCAATATAATTGCCCAGCCGTATTCAATACTAATATCTAATGTCGTATAAAAAAAACTAGCTACTAAGCATTTTAGTATATTTTTTCGCAGAGGTCGGAAAAATAACTCGTCACGTATATCTGCTGTCTTTTTGCTAACTTTTCAATCTGCTATTGAACGAAAAATAGGTTTTATCAAGGACCAAATGTTTCTTTTCTGTATATTAATTGTCTTGAAACAGGTTGAATTTAAATCAATATGCTTCAGGGAAGCGTGTCTTCTTGGTTGCAAAAATCCTTTTTACGTGCTCCAATATGTAGTCTTGCTTTTCTAAAATAATAATAGCATACATGTATTTTAGTTTTCAAGGTTTTTCCTTTCTTCTTAGCAGAAAACTTACCACGAAAATCTTTGAGATTGAAGCTCATTTTGTATTCTTGACTACTGTTGAGATTTTCTTGTTGGTGTTCTGAAATTATCTTAAATAATTTGATCTAACACGCTTTATGACTAAAGTACCGTATTGATCTATCTATACAGTGCCCATTCCGTACATTGTGATATTTGGTGGTACAGATGTTAACCAGTTCTACAAAGATGGCGACAAACTACTCAAAATGTCGCGAACTTTGGTGTCGGCAAGGTTAGCATTTTGATTCATTTTTCAGTTTCTCCATTTCATGTCTTTGAGAAGTTGCAGAACTGTAGCGCTATGGTTTTTTATCTATTAATCTTCAAAGTCATATTTATTACCATAACGCCACAGTACTGCAGCTAGTCTTTGAGGTAATTACTAGTTCCTGGACCTGTCGTATATGATTTCTTTCATTAGTACAAATTTGGAACATTAAAATTGTCCTGACCACTGTCTTTCCATATAATTGTTCATTTTGAATCAAAGTTTCGAAGGAAATATATGTATCATTCAATACCTTAGTTAATCACACGGGCGACATGCAGCTTAATGTACGAAATTTTTCAGTATTACTGCGTATTTATAAGTTTTTATCTTTTCGCTCCTTAATTTAATGATTTTAATTTATTTGATTTTTTTCCAGATATATCGTAGCTTTTAGCCAAGAAATGTGGGATAAAGCTCTCATCATCTGGGTAATATTTGTGACATACAGAAAATTGTTATTAATGAATCTGTGGAAGCTGTTGAATAATGTTTTATGTCGGAAATTCTTTTTGTTCTTCAGCCTCATGTAGACAAGTCAAAGCTGACCATTATAAAGCAAGGTAATTTGATGTCCCGAGAATTTAATGTTGAGAACTTTCAAAATTGATACTTCTCAATAAGCATGGGACTTGCACAGGAGTTTTGGTAACCTACTTATTTATAGGGAAATGTTGTTTCGGTTTTGAAGTTGAAGAATAAAACACTTGAAGCATTCAATATTACACAAGTGCAGTTTATATCCTCCTTTAAAATCAAGTGTTTTTAGAGTACAAAAAAGAGGTTAATTTATTTTCTGGCATCTCAAAGCAAAGCTGACGCAAAAATTCAAATTTGTTTTAATTGGCTGTTAGATAATATAAACTGCACATCAATCTTGATGTAATACACCTTGGATTGATCAGTAGGTAATATCAAATGTTGATTAATGCCTACTCCCTAGGTATACAAACAAGACCGTCGTCTTTGAGGCTAAGGGAGTATTTAGTGAATCAAGGACACGTGACCTCGTCTTCGGTGGCGGGAGCAGCTATTTTTCTCTTCGTCGGAAGCATCCGGCCCGTCAAAGACCCCCTGTTTCTCGTCAGAACAATGGCAGGTACGTGTATACCTTCTGCTGTGAACACGAGAAAAGCACTTTTGAATCTGTGTTCACAGAGTGAAAAAAAAAATTATACAGTCAAGCCAGTATTGAACGACCACATTTTAAGTTAGGTCAAATAAAACGCGTTATAACTTATAACCTAATGTGAACTTAATCTTAGATACAATTGAAAATATTTGCTATCTTGCGCTTGAAATAAAACGATTAAACGATTTTCATCCCTTTTTTTAGTGTTACTGTAAATTCATTAGAATTCTTTTTTCTCGGAACCTTTTTTTTAAGTGAGAATGTTTTCATATAATTTTGTTAAAGTAAAAGCATAAAAGATATCGATGCTAGAATTCAGCTGAATGTAATTAGGTAGATAAGTTACTTTGCCGATTAACGAGTTTAACATGCTTGTTGTTTCCTACTTAATAAAGTTAAGCAAACGTTACTACAAATTCAACTCAATTTTATCTCTTTGAAGAGTGGCATCGAGAGAGGACAGATATACTCTACGTTATAATTGGACCAAAGGTGAGGGACTTCTAAGCTGCACATAGACATGTTATATGTATCAAATTTATTTGTTCAGTTAATAAATTCTTTCAAACTTATTTTCACAGCATGAAGAGGATTATTTTACTGAATTTCATGAAGCCATAGACAGGTGTGAAGGACTGATAAAATACAATGTACTTGAATATGTAAAGGGTAAACGGGTGGACATGTACATACAATTATACATATCCTTTTCATTTTGAAAATAAAAATTTCATTGAATTATTTCTTCTAATAAACACAAACAATGAATTTCAAATTATAACTATATCTACATCTACATGTATAATGTTAGCCGAATTATGTCCATTTCTCTTTAGAGAGGATGGAATAATATACTTGGGGGAGATGAGCATTGAAGATACACACGCCTGCATGAGAGATAGTAGCGTACTTGTTAATACATCTGAGAGTGAAGGCATGGCCGCTGTCATTTTAGAGGTAACTACAATATACGTTATGGACCAGAATTCAGGAGGAGCTATCTTCTGCTAGAAAGATAACTATGAAATTGATTATTTCTCTCGACACTTGGTATGGTATGAATTTTAATTGTATCTCTGTCTTCTATAAAAATCTCAAAATAGTACTATTCTTAGTTAACCTTGGTCTCTCATTTCAGACGCAAATTATGTAACGTCAAGAATACCACGCCTTACTGAAAGTCCAAGGTTAACTGAGAATTGTACTAACTTAAAGGTTATCTTTAAAATTGTTCGTTTGCCCTCTCCTGTCCTACTCACAACTTTCTCAACTCGTCAATACATTTGATGAAATATTTCTTCGGTAAAAAATTTTCCATACCTACCGTCCCAATATCTTACCCTGAGTCGACATAGGGCAAACAGACATTATTTTAAAAATGACCTTACAGAGCAGATGCACATTCTCTCTGAAATGAATGGAAAGTATTGGATCATGAAGTTAAAATAAACTTGATGAAAAGTAAATAGAGAATTCGTAATCTTGTAAAATAATTTATCGTCAGTATTTCTATTCATGCTTTAAGTCCATGGACTTGGGTACACCAGTAATGGCGAGGCGTAATGGTGGAAACGAGGCTCTGATCCAACATAATGTCACAGGATTCTTGTTCTCTACTCCACAGGTAATGCATGGAAATTTCAAAAGGATGAGGTGACTTGCGGCCCCTCGTATATTGATAAAAAATTAAATGTCTAAATTTTACTCAAATTTTTGCATGTAACTAATCACTGATATGTGAACCTTTATAGAATAGTATTTTTAACAAAAATAGAGACGTGATTTGAAAGATATAGATCTTTTATTGGGGAAGGGGTATCATGTTTACATTCAATTCCCATTGCATTTTAACCCCGCCCCACTCGTTGAAGCCCTTAAAATATACGAGCGCTGGTAGGTACAATTTTCTCCTTTGTCTGGTCACTGTATTTTATTGAAATCTACCTATATGTGAAAGGAGAAAATTGTACCTAACTGCGCTCACATGCTATTTTTTAAAATATTGTAAAATCTGGTCGGCCTTTCCCATTATAAACAGATCGACGGAAATAGATTTTCTGACGTAAGAATGAATTCATATGCTAATTGAGGCACAGGCGATTCTATCTAGATGACCAATCAGCTAAATGAAATTCGTTACGAGTGAGTAACACAAAAATACTATGGAAACATGCTTGTAAGTTTACTGCTTTTTTTATGCATTTGAGTCACAGATTAGACACAAATCTACATATGTACCATTTCCGAGACCACAGTAAAATTTATAATATACTGTTACGAACAATTGATAGAATATACATGATATGTATGCATTAGTTTAAAGTTTTGTAGCGTGTTTGGTGAGCAATTCGCTAGGTCTACACGTATTCCCAAGTATCAGTGAACACAAGTTTCATGTGCATTTCTAGTCCTAAAAACCGTAAATACTGAAAATCCATACTTATTATTAAGTATAAACAGCATTGGCTGACTTTTATAAAAGTTTGAAATGTAGAATAGGATAACAGGTAAATTGACCTAAACCACGTGTCTGCGATAAAATGTATACGTAGTATACGTAGTATACCAGCATGTTTTGTTGTTCTGTCATCGGATTGGACAATGACTAAGTGCGAAATAACAACAATAGCCATATAAGGTCTTCTCAGACACGCATATCCCTCTATTGTACTAAGACCCGCCCATTCTCTTGCCATAAGACAAAATATTTGCACAAACCTGGCCGAATTTAGCTGTGATAGGGTCTAAAATATCAAAGATAATGCAGTATTCCTTATAATTTAAAAGTGTCTGAACTATTGAAACTATTCAAAAGGCGTCGTATTTATTCACTCATGTTTGAAAACTACCAACATCGTTGTAGATTAAACATAATTCGTCGTGGAAAAGGGGGCCCCAGATAGGAGTTATGTCACATCATCCTTTTTAAGTAAACTTGAGTCAAAAGAGAAAAAAAAAACAAACAAAAGCAAAAGACGTACAAAAACTCACCTTACAAAGCTCCAGACATTTTTATTTTCAAAAAAAAAATAAAATAAAATAAAATTCAAGTTTTATTTCCATGTAATTAAACTACATGTATATATTTAACCATGAACTCCCACATTTACATTATTATACGTGTATTTGTATGGGTTTTCAAAAAAAAAAAAAGCATTTCCACAGCGTCAGGCTTCTTTTAAGTCCACTTACTCTTAGCCCCTTGGTCTAAGGACCATGAGTGGGGCCCCTGATATTGTGAGGATTTAAACACTTTCTTCAGAATTCTACGTTTTCACGAATTTCAGGAATTCAAAGAAATAGCCAATGCTTTCATCAAGGATACGGCGGTTAGAAGAGAGATAACTCAAGCAGCCAAAGCGCAGATACTCCGTGACCACTCGCCAAAAATTGAAAGAGATGCTTACCATAAACTTATTAATGACTTAAAACACTGACAATACATTGACCAGCTATGAAATAGATTGTAAATATATAAAGAATCACACTTGCATGCGAGTTTTGCTTTTAACTCAATGACTGCAATTTACTTTTATGCCCAGTAGTTTTATTTTCGAGTATTATATACTCTATTTTGAACACATACATGCACTGCAGCAGGGTATTATAAAAATGGTCCCAAGATGAAGAAAATGTGTTTTATACTTTTATATAAAAAAAATTATACATGTACTTGCTTATTTACTTATAATTCATCCATATCAAAAATGCAATTGTTGAATGTGCCAAATAAATAAAATGAAATCATTTGGACTTTGTCATTTCTTCATCAAGGAGGTTTTTTTTTCAAATCTGTAGAGTTTATTTCATCAATAACTTTAGCAAACAAATGAAAGTTCAAACATGCAGTTTTCTCAAATAAAAGTCCCATGCTTTAAGTTATCCTAAAAAATGTTTTTAATTTGTGAACATTCAATTATTACAGTCTCGTTTGCCTTTTAGACAGAATGCCAATATTTTATTTTCGATACTTGTGGAAGCCCCCACACCAATCTTCTTGGTTGACATTTTGTCACAAATATTGGTAACATTAATTAAAATTTATCCTGTATACGGCAGTAGGATTGCCTGATTATTTTACGCTGTTTCCCAATTTATCCTATGGTAATGCTGGGCTGTCTTGAGTTTGCCTTGAAACTTGTTAGGATCATAGGCACTCCAATTTAAGTGCAAAATTCTTTGCAGTTTCTTCACATGATCACAGGGACTTGCTCCCGGCGTGTAAATTTTTTTTATTACAAAAATCATACACCGTAATAATAAGTATTATTATTACGGTATATGATTTTTTAATAAATAATTATTACACACCGGGAGCAAGTTTCTGTGACATGATTTCAAAATAATTTTATCTGAAATCACGCGTCAAGTGCAAAATAAATATTTTAAGACTGATTTGTTTAGAAATCATAGTAATTTGAGATTATAAATTTTTGTCATGATAATTTCATAATTTATTCTCCATGATTTGTATATTTTTTTTTTTTTTTAGCATTTAAAGACAAGAAAATGTGAACAATTCTGAATGATTTAGTGAAAAAGTCATTGAAATTGAGCTAAAATTGTCCTCCCAACAAGTTTTCATAAAAATTTGTTTTTCATTGAAATATATAGTGTAAAAATACTCTGCGTACAACTGTATGTATTAGAAAAGAATGTATCATTCAGTTTCAACTTTATAATTATGGAGAATCATTTTTTGCTATAACCCGGAATATTTGAACAATGTATTCCTTCATTTATTGTTCAACCATTATTTCCTATCGCAAAACACATTGCGTAATTTGGCGCGGTTTCTCCATGTGATGTAGATCGAGAGCAAGAAGCTGACATTCGACACCGTTTCAACATAACACGCAAGCAGGGATACTTCATAAAGAAGGTATATTGAGAGTTTGGACATGTCTTAAAATTGTGTTTTTCTCTACTTTTTATGAATTAAATCGAAAATATTAACATAATGAAATGCACGGAGGCTGACCATGCTGACCTAGATCGTCTGATGATGCATTCCAGTGTGTGATGGATGAACTCGGTGACCCAGTTTACGTTTCCTAATTGTTTTAGTTTTCTCTCAACTGTTTTTTTTAAAGTCATTTACTGTTTATTCATTGTAGTACTATAACAGTATAATAAATAATATAACAAAGGGTCCAGTAAATCTTTGATGTTCCCAGGATTAACATTGCCATTTTTTCCCGCCATCGTAATGCATGGGGCCCATTTCCGAGCCCAATGTAAATTAATTTGCATATGATGTCGGTAAAATTTGCATTGGCAGGAAAAACAATTAGATATATTTTGGAAAAAAAATTGTATAAGGCTGGATATGAACATGAGTCTTTTGCATGGTCCATATCTTTTTCTCTCAGCAAATTAACTGTTTGACCTACATTCTGCTTACTGTTACATGTACTGTACATCATGTAGGGGAGGAACAGCTAAAGTCGGACAGCATCGAATGTCGGACAGTTTTCTCTTTCAGAATAAAATCGTTTCTAAAGAGCTTGGCCCACGAAGGGTCAAAATATGCCCTATAAAATGGTCAAAATTAAACTGAAGTTTTGGCCAAAAATTTTTTGCTTCAAAGGTAGTCTAGGTATTGTAGTTTATCAAAGTGGAAAAAATCTTGGAGTTCCATACTTGTATACCTGAGATCTATAGCCCCAAAATCATAGAAAATCAAGAATTTGCTTGATTTATCACATTTTGGGGGCTAAATAGTCAAATTTTACATAGAGCACAGGCCTGCCCCAAATTTATTTAGGGTTCAGTTTAAAACTAACATCAAGAGGGTTCTATTCATGAAAATAATTTTGTGGGGCAGAAGTGTGCTCATACCTTTAAAAGAACATTTCCACAAAAATCCGAATTTCCTCAGTTTTTACCCTTTTGCCCCTTGTAAATCATATGGTTATAGATTTTGTTAGAATATTACACATTTTTCACAAAAAAGTATCATACTACGATTTTTTAGTTGTTCACTAACACTGTAGTAGGTGTATAGGTCCTCTTTTTAATTTTTTTTTTGGGGGGGGGGGCAGTTTACTTTAATTAGTTGATCCCACAGGAGGTAAACAAATATCTTCGGACTTTTCTTTGAAGACATACGTATAAAACGTATGTATCATGTTTAAGCAAAAGAAAAGAATACATTATAAAATACTAAATAAGAGCTACAGAACTTTTTAAAAAACATTAATTTTGAAGTTGTGTACAAATACTGAATATATTCAAAGTCATATTCGCTATTGACGTATTATTATTGTTTGGCATTGCTCAGTAAAATGGACAACACGAAATACGCACGTACATGTATAATTATAACACGTAAAATTCTACATCTTCATCCTCAATTAAAACCATGGCTTTTCCTTAAACCATGTTTGTATACATTGATATATCAGCATATTCGAAATACAATCAGGAAGATATGGTCTACAGCAGGTGAGAAGTGAAAGTAAAGTTTTCACTAAATACCAGAAACGACATAAAACGTTTTACGAAATAAATAAAGACACATTAATTTTATTTCTTTTTTAAATACTCATACTAATTACATGTAGCTTTTGGGTTAATTCATCAAGGAAAGCAAATCCTCTTTTTTCAGGCATTATTAGAGCTATGAAGGTCCTAGGAAGAAATATTGGGGGTGGGGGTTGCAGCCACGAACCCACAAAAAATTCCAGGACTAGCAGGAATAAAGAACGTAAACGTATAATATTGTTTAGGGGATAAAGCCGCAATTTATCAATATTTATCTATCTTTCAGTGTAAATTGGCAATAGTAATTAAGGCATAAAACACCCTAGTTCAGAAAAACTGGTCTTAAAATATATCTTTTACACTTACTTAAAATTACTATGTCAAGTTCAGAGCCCCGTTCCTCCCCTTCGACCGTACAAGGCGGACGACTTGAATACAAAACCGTTTCTTCTTTCTTTTTTTTTTTTTTTTTTTTTTTTTGGGGGGGGGGGGGGTGTTCCAGCCTGCCCAAGTACTGATTGATTGTTAAGTAACACTTTGGTTAAAAAGAAAACTTACAAAAATAAAATTAAAGGTTCCCTATGATTTTTCACTCAGTCTGATTCCCATGAGATATTGCATTTGATTTGTTCATCTATTGTTTAGTATTATAAGGGGGGGGGGGTTAATTGGAGAGAGGAATATACGTATCTAGCTGCCATGTGAGAAATGAAATGCTATTACTTTGTACAGTACTACTTCTAGACTTTGATGAAATGCATGTGCATATGTACTTTTTTTTCTGTACACTAATTTTCACCAAATTCAAGGTTAAATATTTAATGGGGGCACAATTATGTACTGTTTTATGGTTTAAGAATAGAGGTGTCCAAGGCTAGGACAATCCCCACTTTGAGACAAAAAAAATTCAACTCTTAGTGTAAGAATTCATGATAAGATGTTTTTCAATAATTGCCTTGACAGCTGCCTCTTTTAGTTTATTAAATAACTTACTGATTATATAATTTCATTTTTCACTTAGGTTTGTTTTAAGGTGTGTGAAAAAAACTCTCACAAGATTCGAACTCTATCTTAAGCTCAGGGTTGGGCATAATACCGAACCCGTTTTTTCTCTTAACCTGAACATGTTAACCACTACGTTACGAGGGCTTTTTGTCATCAATGTCTGTTAGAGTGCTTTAGGTAAATCGTGTTGTTGAATTAAATATCTTTCCATAAATCGCTTTTTATATTGAATGGTTTCGGACTCCATTTTTTGAAAAGTAAAAAAGATTTTATATTTACTTTTCAATCTTTTAAACATTAATGTGGAATGGAGACTTGACCCATTTATATTTAAAAAAAAACAATTTATACCCATGAACATTTTCCGGTAAATATGCGTAACTGCATGTCAACTTTAAAAAAATATCAATTCAGTCATTGAATGAAATAGATGAATCAAACGTGTTAAAGATGACATAACTGACAACAGAATTTTAGAAAAATAAAACTCTTCCTTGAAGTTTTGAAATTGAGAAATATAATGTCTCGGAGCGGGAGATTAAATCGTCCTCACCTTTTACGTGTTCTTTCTTTTATAAGGCATTTGCAGATTGAATTAATAGCTATAATTTCAGATTCAGTCATTGTTTTTTTTTTATTTGATAGAAGTTTATGCCTTTATCTTCCAATAAGATGTATGAACATGCTAAACTTTTGTTTCATCATGCTTTTTTTCCAAATATATACCTAGTCATTGAAAATGGTTTAGCCCCCCACTTTCCACAGGAACCTCGCAGTATAAGTTAAAAATGAGGAAAGTAGTCGTGTTTGGAAAAAAATTTGGTACTTGAGTTCGAACTCCCCCCCCCCCCCTTCCCCCTACGGAATAGGACTTCCGTCTTTGGGAAATGGACTTTTTCCTTTTTTTTTTTTTTTGCTTGTCAGGTTTTTTTTAAAGGTTTTAAAAAATTCTTACACTTACCTCCCCCCCATCTTTAATTTGCTTCCGACGCCAATATTATATTATATATTTGTATACTCACTAGTTTGCCACTATTGTCTTTATAAATAAAGGCCTCTTAATACAAAGAGAGGCATATAGGAAAAGTAAAACCTTCGGCTTATTAAAAGTTAATGATTGTTCTAGCTCATCATACTCAAAGGTGTGTTGTAATCTCAGTGATGTCTTTATCATAATAATTCCTGCATTAAATGAAAGTAAGAGGAAGCCACCCACCCCTAACGGAATAGAACTTTTTGAGGAGGTGTAGTCACAGGGGCCAGTGATTACTAATATATTTACTTTTTATGTATTGACTATATAAATATATATTTATATACAAATATGAAGCAAGAAATATTCCTTTTGTTGTATTTAGTGAAGAGGTAAAATCAAACATAGTATTACCGACCCCTTTGGACGCAGTTTATCAGGAGGATTGTTGCTGCATGTTAATTTTTTGTGGAGGTTTTCTCTACTCCACCCCCAACCCAAACTTACATTCAAAAACATTGCTATTGGGCCTTGCATTGTTAGAATCGCACAAAATATAACTGGCCACGTACTTCTATTAAACTGATAATGTCATACCTGGTAGTCAATGATCCATTATCAATTCATTTGTGTGTTAACAATCACATAATTTTTATTGTCCTATATGACGTTCCGTCACATTATACCAATTATGACGTTCCGTTCACAATTTTCTAGTAAAACAATGCCATACTGCAAACTCTCTTAAAGAAAAAGTAAAATAGATATCAAAAAAAGGAAAACAGTTCCATAAAGCTTGAAGTCTACACTATATATTATCAAAATTTCATTAATTTTTTAGATGAGGCATTTTTTTACCATTCGTGGGCTTAACTCTTTAGTGTCATGTGTATTTTTCTTTCAGTATCTCCGTCTACAGGATGTTTTTGGTTGTTTCGTACATATATAGTCGTGAAAACGTTTGAAATAATGTCTAAAATCTGGAGGATACATACGCACCTCACGGATCCGGATAAAATTCGCATGCGCACCGAGCGCGCACCTGTCGACAGTGACCTAGTTCATCCTTGGCGAAATCTTCAGTTTGCCGTCGGTACTCCGTGATTGTTAGTATATTTTGTAATTAAATCATACTTTTACATGCTTAATATTAATTATTCCCATAATAATAACTTTATGGTGGATATTTATTTATTAAACCATGAAAATAAAACTGTCCGACTTTACATACTCGGTCATTTAAAGTCGGACAGAGGAGAATTTAAAGTCGGACAGAACATTATATTGAATAAATTGTATTTTAATTGTCATATTTTAAAAAAAAACTAGAACAATTTATTATAATGTTATTAAACTTACCGGCAATTAAAGAGTATTTAAGCTTTTGTAAATCAAATACTGCCGATTCGCCGCAACTTTTTGGAAGGAAGAAATCAAAAAAAGAAAAGTTTTATCACTTACCTCATAGAAATTGTTTTATTTCAGAAAAAAACAATGAAAAACACGTAAAGCAAAATCGATCTCATTAAATTTTAACAGCAACAGACTGATATAATATTGCAGAGAAATGAATTTTTTATACTGTATACATAAACCGAGGAAAATAAAAGAAGGAAGGGGATAGAAAGAGAAGAAAAGAAAATCTATTACAAAAATCAACAAAGTAAATTTTTTTTTTTTCGTGGCTTCATTTGAGTTTCATGTTTATAACTCATCACTCATTCTGTCATTCAGGAAAAAGAAAGGTTTCTTTCTTGAAAATTAAATATACTAATTATAATGTAAAGAAAGTGGGGTATATAGTTTTCTGTCTATAACCATTTATATAAGATGGGATTAATTTTGGGGACAATTTAAACCCAAAAAATTATTCACACGATAACCCATGAGTTTATAGATTATAGATCGCAAAACACATGTACTATATGCCAATTTAAATTTCTTGGTTTATAAATTGAAAAATCGAAATAATCCACACGATTACCAAGTATATTATACATAAAAAAAACTTTAAATGTTCACGAATTTTTTCCCGGGCACTTGATATTATTTTTGTAAGCTGGGGAGGGGCTAGAAAATTAAATTTAAAAAATCAACTTACCTGAGTGAAGAAAGAAAACGACAAAAAAGAAGGAGTGGGTAATGGTCCAAACTCAAAGAAAATTCTATTTTGGAGGTTGATGGGAGGATACGTTCCATTTGATTACATCTTTCAAAACCGAATTTTATTCATACATATTACCAGATTACCCTGATTTGAGGGTAATAAAAGGGTAGCGGTGGGACAAACAGCCTTTCAATGAACTTGAATTTTCAATAGTGTAAAGTAAATATTTGCGGGGGGGGGGGGGGAGTGAGGGGTCAGCCCCCCACCCCCTGAATACTTTGTTCATGCTCCACTACGATTTAACACCTAAAAAATGAAGTAAATAGGACTTTAAATGCCGAAACTAGTATGTGTCCGACTTTAAATTCTACATGTCCGACTTTTACTGTCGCTGTCCGACTTTATCAGCCTTTGCCTTTCCGTGTTTGGTTTTGAATTATAGCATTACAAAGCTTTTAACCAATGAAAATTAAGAATAGACAGAGGGTAAAAACATCATTTTATGTGACGTGAAACTTTCCGGTTATGTGTTACGAGTTTGGAGCGCGTACCGAAGGTGCATACGAGAAGGTCTGAAAAACTGTCCGACTTTCGCTGTTCCTCCCCTACATTGTTAGATACTCAAATCTCAATAATGCAAAAAAATAACTTATTGTAATTTGACCATTAAATTAAAATTTTATTTCTAATATAACTATATAAACAAAAGTACTGATATTTTATAATATTAGAAACAAAAATAATTTTAAAGTTTATTTTCTATTCATCATTGGAAAATAATAGAAAATATTTTAATTATAAACTTATACTGTCATTATATTTCTGTTACAAGGAAAATTCACAAATTCCACTTCGAGAGATAACTCCCATTTGTTTACGATACTATTTGATTGATGCTTTAACCACGGTGGGGACAGTTGAATTTCACACGTGGAACACGGTTTACCTGTCTCACCTGGTAAAATCCTGCATTGTGATTATATTGCGATGGACCGATAGGGCGTTGGAAGTATGGGATCCTCGTTGCCTGTACTGTATGAGCCATCACAAAAGAATGGAGGCTTAGATGTCAGAATCAAATTTTAAAGTTCAGTGTTACATGTATAATTTAAATGATATCTGCTTGGTTTTCCCTAAGACCTGGGGCCCAGGGAATATTTTCCCACCTATACTTACATTTATTTGATCCAGTTTTTCTGTTATTTCCCCTTAATTTCCGGTTTTAACCCTTGACCCTGTCCCCTGCATAGAGGCGGATCCAGCATTTTCTGAAAAGGGGGCTCCAAGGCATTGTTGAAAACTATGGCCAAAATGTGCGATCCTCTCCCATTCTAACCGTGGTTGAATGAGAAGAGAATTTCTTGTAGCTCATTAAAATATTGACCAATTCGAGTAAACGCGTCGAAATCAAAGAACACTATATAATTTCTTAAACAGAACTGTGAATGGGCAAAATTGTTAGCAAGTGTAAAAAGGTGAAAAATAACATGGGGCAAAAATAACCCTATTATGAAATAGAGAAAAAAATGCACTTTCTACCAGTGAAAATAGGGCCTTAGGCCTAGAAAAAAAACATGTTTGTTTCCGCTTTCAGGCTGAAAAAATATAGGGTAGGTAGGTAAGGCCATTTTTTTTTTTTTGAAATTTTTTTTTAATCAAAACGTGTGTAGAAATAACATTAATGACAAAAAGAAATTGTGTTTTCAAGCATTTCTGTAAGTAGAAAGGTGACCCAAACTTCTTTCTGTCTTGAAAAGCTAGCAAAGTTGGAGACAATAATTCCCTGGGTGAAATCTTGCACATCATGGGACAAAAGCTTTGAAAAAATATTTAGGGTCGGCACAATAAATTAGGGTCGGTCGGGAAAGCAGAAACAAACATATTTTTTAACTAGGCCTTATGCAAGGCCCCCTACGACCATTTAAAAAAAACCTGCCCACACAAATAGAATCACTCAAACAGAAATGTCAGCTTTATAGGTTGTAATACAAACTTTTGTTGACTTGTACATCCCTTAATTCTTTCAAAAAGGTATAGTCTTAAGTCAAAAAATATCAAAAACTACTGAAGTACTGTAGCCATAAAATTGAATGAATTTCAATAATTAGTTTCCAAAAAAAAAATTCTGGAAAGCTAACAGCAAATATAAATGAATTGATTTACTTTGGTTTTATATATTATGTATTACTGTATACTCTCCTCATAAACCCTTGCTTAGAATTAGACATTTACCTAGATCTATTGTTTTTAAACATAAACTTTAATTCCTGTAATTTAACTCTAACAAACAAACAAAAAAATACCAGAATAAAAAAATACCAGAATTTTATCATACATGTGTTTTGCCAGGGAGCTCATAAATTTAAACTTTGTGTTAGGAGAGGAGGACTTGTACTGGGACTTCTGTTCTTTATTCATTTCTCTTCTTTTACTTCACCCTGAATACAGTTTCTTTTGTCAAAATGAAATTTTACAAGTACATGTATGATAGAAATAACATTTTCTAAGAAAGATAACTCTTCCATTTTTCTCATTTTTCAGGCAAGAAAATGAGCAGCCAAGACAATTCCATGGATCTCTCATTGAGCAGTTTCTTTGGGAGCAGATCTTCGCAAGGTAGTCCTGTGTCTTCTGATTCATTATCTGAAGGTTTGCAAGATACATGGACAGAGAGAAATACTGTACTGAAGTGCAACAAGTACATGTTGCTGAATAAAGTAGCATGTGATGTCACTTTCCTTGTGGGTGCCAATAGCACGCCCATTAAAGCCCACAAGTACGTGCTGGCCAGCCGGAGCCCGGTATTTTTTGCCATGTTTCTTGGACCTGCAAAGGAATCGTCCAATGAAATCACAGTGCCTGATATTGAAGATTGTGTATTTGAGAAATTTCTAAGGTGAGCTCTATACTTAGAAAACTGAGAATTTCAATTTAGTTATTGTTACTATTTTATTATATCTTGTGTTTAATTATAAAAATTTGAAAATAAACACATCTGGTATTTTGAAAATAGATACTTATTTTAACTGATGCGTATGATATTCATGCAGTAGATATATTACATGTATATACAAGAGTAAGAAAATTTTATGCAGTTTGAATATCAATGATGTCATCTTTTTGCCCTTATAGGTACCTTTACTTTGAAGATGACAAGATCCTGGATGGTGATAATGTCTTGCATGTGTTGTATGCAGCTAAGAAATATTCCATAAAAGGTTTGGAGTCCAAATGTGGAGAATTTCTCATCCATAACCTCAACACAGAGAATGTTTGTGTTATTCTAGAGAGCTCTCACACCTTTGGTAATAGCAGTATGGAAGAGAAATGTGTACAGTTTATATTGAGAAATGGTGACGGAGTTTTGCAGTCCCCCTCTTTCCCCGACCTCTGCAGGAAATGTGTGACAACGATCATTTCTAGCAAAAATCTGGAAGCAGAAGAAGCTGTTGTGTTTAAGGCTGCCGTGAAATGGGCCGGAGCCGTTTGCTGCAAAAAATGCATCAACCCTAGTGACAAGAACATTAGGAAAGTCCTGGCTGATTTATTGTTTAAGATTCGATTTCCCATAATGCAGTTGTCATTCTTTGCAGATAAGGTGGCTTCTGGTAATATTCTGACACAGAAGGAGAAAGTTGTTTTGTATGAATATCTGTGCAGGTCTGATACCTCAGATTCAAATTTAGAGCTTCCATTCAGTGTAGAATATAGGAAAAAGAAGAGTTTTCTCATTTGCAAGCGATTCAATAGCTTGTCTGCAAGTTGTGAATGGGAGAACGTGGGGCGTGAGAATTCCATTGAATTTTCCTGCACTAGAGCAATTTGGCTGCATGGTATTTTAATGTATGCAACAGTTACAATGGCTACCTGTCAAAACTCAGTAGTGGTTAGAAATGAACAGGGAGAAGTTCTGTACAACTCGGATGAAAAAGCAAACATGAGAAAAGAAGTTGTATCATCAAAGTCATATAATCTTTTCTTTGGGGAAAGACTAAAGATTCAGCCATTGAAATTCTACAAAATTTCAGTCAAAAGCGTTGGTCCCAAGAGCTACTATGGAGGGGGAGGAAAACATTTCGTGTCATGTGGTCCATTCAGATTCGAATTTCGGGACAGTGGCACAGGGAAAAATATTTTATCGTCCACTGCAGAACAACCCGGTAACGTGAAGGAAACCAACCAATCCTCTGGCCAGATCCCGGGAATCATATTCTCCAGCTGGTTGTAAGGTCAAATCCCTGTAGGTGAAGTCTGGAAATTCCCATAGGATCAACATAGAGGTAAATCTGAAGAAGGTTCAACACAGATATTTCTCATGAAAACTTAGCAACCAGTAATACAGTCTTGCATGTAGAAACGGCAAAAAGTCAATTAAGGCATTGTGAATCCATTTTAAGAAATAAGGATATTTTCAAGTGACTTTCAACTAAAAATTGAGATGTCCATTATAAATCATAAGGGTACTTCACTGATAGCAAAATCCTTTTAAAAAAAATGAAAAAGCCCTTCTGATAATTCTCAAATTTTAAGGCAACCCTCATAAACAATGTTATAAATTGATCTATTATAAGATTGTTAATATTTATAGCCAGTTTTGATTATTTAAGGATGTTTATTGAATGGAAGAACATGTGAATTCATTTCAAAGGCTTTATACTTTGGTTTTTTTTGGACAGATTTGTTTATGAAAACAGACTGACAATTTCATTCAGATTGTTCAGTGTTTTAATTAGTGCTTTTATCTTTGCAGCTTTGTTGAATCTATGCATAGTTGATTATAGTTCCTCATTAATGTTAAAATGTTGTAGTTGAATATTTTATATTTGCATGTTGAGACACTGTTACATGTATTTGACAGTATTATGCAATCATTTTACTCTGTGTTTCAATGTTAATTTTTTTTTAATGCCACTACAATTTTTTAAGTTTTCATGCAATCATGTATATAAATTTAATGCTTAAGATTTGGTAGTTTACAAATAGTTTTTAAATTTCAGGATATATTAAAAAAAATCCGAAGTAAATTGTATTAAAAAGTTTTTTTATCTTAAATTTTTTAGGTTAAGTAGTTTATTCAAATTCTTTGTGACTTAAAATTAAGATATTACAGAAATATTTTGCTGTTAAAGTTCTTGGAGTTATCTTCCTTTGTACTTTTCTGTGTACATGCAGATCACAATGAGGCAACTTTTGAAAAAATGTTTGTTTGCCCTCGATTTCCAACAGACTTGCAAAAGGACTGACTCAAATATTTTTTTTTAACCTCCAGGAGACAGTTTTTTCCCACCTGAATCTTGTCAAGAATAAAAAAAATTACAAGGGGCAAACACATATTCTTTTAAAGGTGGCATGAGTGCTTCTATTTTTTAACTACAGGCAATCCTTAGAAACTTATTATGATATTAAGTGCCCATGTTGTTACAAAAAGAAACTAAATTGAATCAATAAATTTCACATGGGACTACAGGGGTTATATTATGGTATTTTATAATAGTGTAGGGTGGTTAAATTTAAAGAAGACCAATAAGTTGTGACAAGCCACTGTTATGGGACAAAATTCATGACTTTACCAAAAGTGTGAAATACAAGGGTGAACCTAGATAAGTTAAAACTACATTATTTTTTTAAACCAAGTATCAATGCCTGCAAATCGCTGGAAATTGAAATCATTGCTAGTACCTTAATAGTAACATGTGCTCTGTAGTTTAATTGGATATACATGTAGATATACTGAAAGGAAAAAGAAACGCAGGGTAAACTTTTGATTTGAATTAAATTTGTTTTTCTTAAAATACTTTTTAGTTTTCCTATCTAACTTTTAAAATCATCTTTCAAAAAGATATAACCAAATTCTCATATGATTTTGTGTAATTATTCATGAGTTCCTAAAGCTCAAATGACGATACCCCCCAAAAGGGAAAATCGAAAACTCTCATTATTTTCAATGTCCATCTCATGCATCTGTCAGAGTCTTATTTCTCCTTTGCATGGAATTTCATCAGAGTGTTTATCTTTCAAACCCTGGCTATATTTAGCATGGATAACCACGCAAAAAAATAAGTCAAACGGCGCGCGCATGCGCCAGTGAGGGGAATACAACAGTAAGTTGACTGGCTCAAAAAACCAAATAGCGGAATTGTTTTCTTTCAAATTGCGTATGAATGTAATGATTATAATCGTGTACACTATAAATGGCTATTTTTGTGGAAGTAAGGTGGCGATTTTAGGGATAGCAGAACGAATAACCCGCTCGTAACATGGCTCTGTTTCGCGTTAACGTCATCGTCACGGTTCATTGAAATCCACTTAAGACCCTCTCTGACAACGGCTAAAAAGTTTTATGGGGGAAAATTTACAAGAGACTGCTTAGTAAACCGTTGTTGCCTTTTTCATTAATTGGGCAATTCGAAAACAAGACCCCATTGAACTTCCGTAAACTGTGCCAAGATTGCAATAAATTCATAATGTCTCTTAATATTGAAAAACGATGTGCATACCTCATATGCATCAAATAATGCAACAACATTTGTGGACAAACACGTCGTTATCAAATTGCATGTGTTTTGGGCTTTTTAGCGTATTCCCTACGTGACGTCATAAATTTTACGGTTGAGTAATTCTGAATACTGATTTTAATACACAGTAACTAAATTTCCCATCTGACCAATTTTCGTAATTTTCGGTCTTGTGGTCAAATTTTTATCAACAATTATGCTACCCTGCGTTTCTTTTTCCTTTCAGTATATTTTGATTACTTTGTTACCATTATTATAACATATGCTTAAGAAATGTTGTGTTGTTGATTGTGTAGTATGCAGATTGTAATGTTGTGTTATACATTGATATACTTGTATGTTTTTTTTTTCTAATTGAAAAATAATCAAGTTACTTACATTTAGTTGTATAATGAAAGATATATATATTTTTAAAATAAAATAGTGTGTAGTTATTGAATTTCCTTTTTTAGCTCACCTCAACGAAGTTGGGGGGAGCTTATGTGATACCCTCGGCATCGGCGTCCCAGGTTAAGGTTAGGTTTTTTGGGGCAGTTTTCTTTTTAAGTACTTCTATGTCCTATATTGATTAGACATGCATGGAAGATGCTTCTAGTGTCTTTCATTGTACCAGTCCAAGATTCAGATGCTGCGGTTTAAACAAAGAAATGACCAGATTAATGTTTTTTGGAGCAGGTTAACATTTTTGGTGCAGTTTTTAGCTCACCTGAGCCGAAGGCTCAAGTGAGCTTTTCTGATCAAAATTTGTCCGTTGTCTGTCGTTGTCGTAGTCGTTGTCGTAGTCGTTGTCGTCGTCGTAAACTTTTCACATTTTCATCTTCTTCTCAAGAACCACTGGGCCAATTTCAACCAAACTTGGCACAAAGTATCCTTGGGTGAAGGGGATTCAAGTTTGTTCAAATGAAGGGCCACGCCCTTTTCCAAGGGGAGATAATCATGAATTTGTTAAAAATTAATGGCATTTAAAAAAAAATCTTCTTCTCCAGAACCGCTGGGCCAGGAAAAATGAAACTCATGTGGAAGCATCCTCAGGTAGTGTGGATTCAAGTTTGTTCAAATCATGACCCCCGGGGCAAGGGTGGGGCCAAAATGGCCGACCCAAGTTTTACATAGGAATATATAGGAAAAATCTTTAAAAATCTTCTTCTCCAGAACCACTGGGCCAGGAAAGATGAAACTCATGTGGAAGCATCCTCAGGTAGTGTAGATTCAAGTTTGTTCAAATCATGACCCCCGGGGCAAGGGTGGGGCCAAAATGGCCGACCCAAGTTTTACATAGGAATATATAGGAAAAATCTTTAAAAATCTTCTTCTCCAGAACCACTGGGCCAGGAAAGATGAAACTCATGTGCAATCATCCTCAGGTAGAGCAGATTCAAGTTTGTTCAAATCATGACCCCCGGGGCAAAGGTGGGGCCAAAATGGCCCACCCAAGTTTTACATAGGAATATATAGGAAAAATTTTTTAAATCTTCTTCTCCAGAACCACTGGACCAGGAAAGATGAAACTCATGTGAAATCATCCTCAGGTAGTGTAGATTCAAGTTTATTCAAATCATGACCCCCGGGGCAAGGGTGGGACCAAAATGGCTGACCCAAGTTTTACATAGGAATATATAGGAAAAATCTTAAAAAATCTTCTTCTCCAGAACCACTGGGCCAGGAAAGATGAAACTCATGTGGAATCATCCTCAGGTAGTGTAGATTCAAGTTTGTTCATATCATGACCCCCGGGGCTAGGGTGGGGCCAAAATGGCCGACCCAAGTTTTACACAGGGATATATAGGAAAAATCTTTAAAAATCTTCTTCTCCAGAACCACTGGACCAGGAAAGATGAAACTCATGTGGAAGCATCCTCAGATAGTGTGGATTCAAGTTTGTTCAAATCATGACCCCCGGGGCAAGGGTGGGGCCAAAATGGCTCACCCAAGTTTTACACAGGGATATATAGGAAAAATCTTTAAAAATCTTCTTCTCCAGAACCACTGGACCAGGAAAGATGAAACTCATGTGGAATCATCCTCAGGTAGAGCAGATTCAAGTTTGTTCAAATCATGACCCCCGGGGCAAGGGAGGGGCCAAAATGGCCGACCCAAGTTTTACATAGGAATATATAGGAAAAATCTTTTAAAATCTTCTTCTCCAGAACCACTGAGCCACGAAAGATGAAACTCATGTGCAATCATCCTCAGGTAGAGCAGATTCAAGTTTGTTCAAATCATGACCCCCGGGGCAAAGGTGGGGCCAAAATGGCCGACCCAAGTTTTACATAGGAATATCTAGGAAAAATCTTTAAAAATCTTCTTCTCCAGAACCGCTGGGCCAGGAAAGATGAAACTCATGTGGAAGCATCCTCAGGTAGTGTGGATTCAAGTTTGTTCAAATCATGACCCCCGGGGCAAGGGTGGGACCAAAATGGCCGACCCAAGTTTTACATAGGAATATATAGGAAAAATCTTTAAAAATCTTCTTCTCCAGTACCACTGGGCCAGGAAAGATGAAACTCATGTGGAAGCATCCTCAGGTAGGGTGGATTCGAGTTTGTTCAAATCATGACCCCCGGGGCAAGGGTGGGGCCAAAATGGCCGACCCAAGTTTTACATAGGAATATATAGGAAAAATCTTTAAAAATCTTCTTCTCCAGAACCACTGGGCCAGGAAAGATGAAACACATGTGGAATCATCCTCAGGTAGTGTGGATTCAAGTTTGTTCAAATCATGACCCCCGGGGCTAGGGTGGGGCCAAAATGGCCGACCCAAGTTTTACACAGGGATATATAGGGAAACCTTTTAAAATCTTCTTTTCAAGTACCTCAAAGCTATGATTAGTGATATTTATATGGAATCATCCTCAGGTAGTGTAGATTCTAGTTTGTTAAAATGATGAACGCCTGGAGGGGGGTGGAGTAAATTCAAGCCTGATGTGCTCAGGTGAGCACTGTGGCCCCTGGGCCTCTTGTTGGTGTAGGTTTCATTTCCAAGTAACTATAAGCCCTATGTTGACCAAACTTGCAGGGATGATACATCTAAGGATGCATACTACCGGGCTTGCTTCGGATGCTGAATCTGACCTACATTTTCCGGTTGAGTGAACAGGTTAAAGTTTTTGGTGCAGGTTTCATTTCCAATTAACTAAAAGTCTTATGTTGACCAAACTTGCATGGATGATACATCTAAGGATGCATACTACCAGGCTTGCTTCGGATGCTGAATCTGACCTACATTTTCTGGTTGAGTGAACAGGTTAAAGTTTTTGGTGCAGGTTTTATTTCCAAGTAACTATAAGCCCTATGTTGACCAAACTTGCATGGATGATACATCTAAGGATGCATACTACCGGGCTTGCTTCGGATGCTGAATCTGACCTACATTTTCCAGTTGAGTGAACAGGTTAAATTTTTTTGTGCAGGTTTCATTTGCAAGTAAGTTTAAGCCCTATGTTGACCAAACTTGCATGGATGATACATCTAAGAATGCACACTACCGGGCTTGCTTCGGATGCTGAATCTGACCTACATTTTCTGGTTGAGTGAACAGGTTAAAGTTTTTGGTGCAGGTTTCATTTCCAATTAACTAAAAGTCTTATGTTGACCAAACTTGCATGGATGATACATCTAAGGATGCATACTACCAGGCTTGCTTCGGATGCTGAATCTGACCTACATTTTCCGGTTGAGTGAACAGGCAAAGATTTTGGTGCAGGTTTCATTTCCAAGTAACTATAAGTCCTATGTTGACCAAACTTGCATGGATGATACATCTAAGGATTGATACTACCAGGCTTGCTTCGGATGCTGAATCTGACCTACATTTTCCGGTTGAGTGAACAGGTAAAAGATTTTGGTGCAGGTTTCATTTCCAAGTAACTATAAGCCCTATGTTGACCAAACTTGCTTGGATGATACATCTAAGGATACATACTACCAGGTTTGCTTCGGATGCTGAATCTGACCTACATTTTCTGGTTGAGTGAACAGGTTAAAGTTTTTGGTGCAGGTTTCATTTCCAATTAACTAAAAGTCTTATGTTGACCAAACTTGCATGGATGATACATCTAAGGATGCATACTACCAGGCTTGCTTCGAATGCTGAATCTGACCTACATTTTCCGGTTGAGTGAACAGGCAAAGATTTTGGTGCAGGTTTCATTTCCAAGTAACTATAAGCCCTATGTTGACCAAACTTGCTTGGATGATACATCTAAGGATACATACTACCAGGTTTGCTTCGGATGCTGAATCTGACCTACATTTTCTGGTTGAGTGAACAGGTTAAAGTTTTTGGTGCAGGTTTTATTTCCAAGTAACTATAAGCCCTATGTTGACCAAACTTGCATGGATGATACATCTAAGGATGCATACTACCAGGCTTGCTTCGGATGCTGAATCTGACCTACATTTTCCAGTTGAGTGAACAGGTTAAATTTTTTTGTGCAGGTTTCATTTGCAAGTAAGTTTAAGCCCTATGTTGACCAAACTTGCATGGATGATACATCTAAGAATGCACACTACCGGGCTTGCTTCGGATGCTGAATCTGACCTACATTTTCCAGTTGAGTGAACAGGTTAAATTTTTTTGTGCAGGTTTCATTTGCAAGTAAGTTTAAGCCCTATGTTGACCAAACTTGCATGGATGATACATCTAAGAATGCACACTACCGGGCTTGCTTCGGATGCTGAATCTGACCTACATTTTCTGGTTGAGTGAACAGGTAAAAGATTTTGGTGCAGGTTTCATTTTCAAGTAACTATAAGTTCTTTAATGACCAATCTTGCATGGATGATACATATAAGGATGCATACTACCAGGCTTGCTTCGGATGCTGAATCTGACCTCCTTTTTGTGGATGAGTGAAAATGTTAGTTTTTGATGCATGTTTCATTTCCAATTTACTATGAGCCCTATAATGAGCAAACTTGCATGGATGATACATCTTAGGATACACACTAATGGATGCTTTGGATGCTGAATTCGACATACATTTTTCAGATAATAGACCAGGTAAAAGTTATGGTTGCAGGTCTATTTCCAAAAAACTATAACTATAAAGGCTTATATAACATTGTATAAACCAAACTTGCACAAATGTTGCATCAAGAGATGAAAACTCTCAAATTTGCTTCAGATGCTGGATTTTGATTAGATTTTCATGAAGAAGAACTAGTTTAAATTTTTTATGTAGGTCTATTTCAAAGTATCAGATCAAAATTGCTTAAATATTTTCATTTTTGGAATGTACACTTTTTGTTGGTGAATTGTGTGACTTTGCCTTACTTAAAGACAACATTCGTTGAGGTGAGCTCTGTAATCTCTGATTACCTATGTTTCCTTTTTTTCTTTAAAGCACTGTTAAGTTGTGTAACCTCAAGTAGAAATTGCTTTAAATTCTAAAGTGTAATGTTAGCAATTTAATGCTTTTCTTTTTCTATAAATCATTATTTTCAGCTGATACTAGTATATGTTTAGTACATGTGTCTATCCAGTCAATTTATCTGAAATGGAGGCCTTTAATGTTAATCTAATTGCTACAAAAAATTTTATTTCGTGATAAATGACAAAATAGAAATATGTCCATGTCCATAGGACATGAATGCCCCATTGAGAGTATATTAGTAATGCAACATGAATATTTGTTTAAGTTTATGGAATTTGATGAGAATATCTTGAACAGTTTCTTTAGAATAGAAATCTTAAAAATTAAAGTTAACTTGGTTTTCAGAGGATATTTACAGACCAATTAATGTAAATATGTATAAGCTTAAATAAGTATATCTTAAATAGTTTCTTTGAAATTAAGCAAAATGCAAATTTTGGAAATATAAGATGGAGGTCACAGGAAAGGTCAAGGTCAAACTAAAATAAAGGAAGTTAAGGTCAAAGGAAAGGTCAGTATATGTTGAGTCAGTTGAAAGGCTTTCTTCAGTATGTATTGGCATATGAAGTTTGATAAAATAAAATTAATGGTTTCTTTAAAACTGAGTTAAACACAAATAGAGAAAAGTGAGGTCAAATAAAAGGTCAAGATAAATGTTAATTCAGTTAAATAGCTTTCATCTGTATGTATCAGCATAACTATGAAGTTTGACACTAATTTAAGAAAAGTGAGGTCAAGGTCAAAAGAAAGGTCAAGGTCTAAAATGTTGCAGTTGAAAAGCTCTCATCATGAAGTATCAGCATATGAATTTTGATAACACTATTCTGAATGGTATCTTAAAAACCGGGCTAAACACTAATTTAAGAAAAATTAGGTTAAGGTCATAGAAAAGTTCAAGGTCAAAATGTTGACGCAGTTCAAAAGCTTGAATGGTATGTATCAGCATGTGAAGTTTCATAACACTATCCTGAATGGTTTCTTCAAAACCGAGCTAAATATACTAAGAAAAGTGAGGTCAAGATTAAGGTCATAGGGAAGTAGGAAAGGTCATGACCAAAAAAAAATTGGTGCAGTTGCATAGTTCTCATCATCATCTATCAGCATATGAAGTGTGATAAAATATCTTGGGTAGTTTCTTTGAAACTGCGCTTTGAGCAGAACTAATCTCAAAGCGCGAAGGAAGGACGGACATGATAAGCCAGTTTTAAGCACTATATGTATATGCTCCGGTCATAATCATGGGCATAACTATGTGAAGTTAAAATATCCAAAAAAATGTAATGCGCGGAAAGCATAATTTTAGTTTGATTAAATTACCCATGGAAAGCGTTTCATGATTTTCATATATTCCACGCCCTAGAATGAAATTAAATTAGGCATAAGTAAATCTGAAAATGTTTCTGCATTACTATCCATAATTTGTTTAGACAAGTAGCATGATAATTGTTTGCATGATTATGATAAGCAGCTAGTCCTAAACAAAATTTGAAAATGAATGAGTCCGTGGTTCATGTCAAGTTGGTCAGACGAAGAATATCAAAAAGTTGGAGGACTGGCGCCATAAAATATTAAAACCGCTTAAGGTACAAATACATCAGTGAATTTTGCACATTTATATTCATTTCTTGTTTTGTTTTGTTTAGATGAGAAACTATCAGAGACTACACTTTATTCTTGGTACAATTTTTTTCATATCAATCTGCGAACGCTTGATATAAGTCATATAACCTTCGCCTCGTTTGTTGACATTTATTTTATTGTGTAGTGCACCTTAAGTTATCTTTACTCCTGAACTCCCATGGGGTACCTGCGTTAATGTGATTAAAGTGTTATTTAGAATTTGTAAAACTGTTGTCATTCAAAATCAGATCAAATTCATCGGACCAAAAGAGGTCACAGGATACTCTGTACAGAAACTGTCATAGACCTTTTTGTTTTACAATCCGCATTTTATCTGTATAAGGAAACGTTAAGCACGTACTTTTGAAATATTTAAAAGAATCTTTTATGATACTGTTTCCGTAAAAAAGGTATGGATTTCCAATATTATGCCCCCTCCCGCTTATACCATTGGCCATATTAGAAATATATCCTCTCTCTTAATTGCCAGGAGCGGTAACTCCGACTGAATTGAAAGATTTTGTGTAAATAATTGTAAATAAAGTTTTGGGAAATTCTCTTCTGGGAGCTTTTGTTAATTTAAAAGAGTTTTCTGTAATAATTGTTAAGGAAGGAATGTTGTGACTTGCTCATTGGAATTCAGGAAATAAATTATATATCCTGTATCATGTAATTTGTTAAAACTTAAAATTTTAGAAGACTAAAATTATGCAATTAATTTTTTTGAAAACATCTAGATATTTTTTACATCGAATTCTAGAAAAAGGTAAAGATGTACATTTATATTTATTTGTACTTGTCAGTAAATTCATGGTTAACCAGCAAATGAAGAGTTGTTCTCTGAAGTGTGTCTTACTCTAAAATCCTTTATTTTCGATTCAGTGCGTAGACAGTCGAGTAAACTGGATAGAAATTTAGATAAGGTTCACAGCCATTATATACATGTATTAAGCGTAAAATATTTTATTGAAATGTATTACGTTTTGTCAGCATGCCACACAATATCCTTGCCGACAAAATGCATACCCTCTTCCGACAATTCGTATTTTCTTAGAAGATTTTATCCTCACAGATCAATAAATTAATCTGCCAAAAAATTAAATATATGGATGCACGGAAGTTCTGAATTTATTTTAAATCTATTTTTAGCTGAGGAGGTGAGTAGGGAAAAACTAAAAATTGCTTCTGCACTTCACGCAAGCGAAGCTACTGAACGGCTTGGCAGATGGCGACGCACAACAGAAGACAGAGTGCAGTGTGAGAAAACATATGTTGGTGTTTCTGAAGGGGAACTTAACAAGAACTAGGGACACAGTTCAGATTTTCGACTATTTACATTGGAGTACATAACGATATTATCGATCTTTTTTTCGACTTGCATAAGATAAATAAGCTTTATGCGGAACATGGCAATATCGACTGATAACATGTCTGCTATGACGTACAGTGGTTGGGATTTTTCATTCACACGTACGGATTCTAAACGGATTTTGTAAACGGAAATGTGTGCCCTGAATTTACTATTATTTAATTATTATGGAGGTACGTATGTGAATTTCTTACACTGTCACTTTTTAAATGTCCCTGTATACCTTTAGTGGCTGGTCTCATAACGCGCCTTGATCCGCCAGATAGTGGACGTTTGGGCACGTTTGGGGACCTGCCTTTAGTACTAACTTAGATAGAGGAATCTATTAGTTCGATATTGGTTATTTGACGCATTTATGTTAAAGTATAATAATCTTTGACCGTAGGTTTAAACTGATATGGCGGTTAGAAAATTATTACTCATGATAACTCATGCATGATCGCTAAAGCTTTAGATTATTACAGGCTTTTATTTTGCTAGTGACAAGCAGGCTGACAGAAGGGTTTAATCGGAGTGCTGTTGGAATAATGTAACGAGGAAAGTTTTCCACTTTAAAAACCCCACGGAGGGGATATATATTTTTTATTAGTTCCGTGGATTTTTTTTTCTTTTGGAAGTGTCAACATGTGATAATTGTTGTGGGTTGTGGATCACGATGGAGTCTCCGGGAACTTCGGGACCTAGTAACACTCTGCTGGTCCTTCAGCTTAAGTCCCTGGTGGCGTACAAGTCAAATGATGAGTACCTGTATGCCATGAAAGAGGACCTGGCAGAATGGTTCATGTGTCTGTACCAAATGAATATCACTGTGGATAATTTTTTCGAGGTTTTGGAAACGGGTGTCATTCTCTGTGAACATGCCAACAAGGTGAAAGGGTATGCAGACGAACAGAGACAGCTAGGAAGACTGGCTGTCATTCAGTCCAATTTCGTCCGTCGTTTGGAGATTCCACAATACGAGGTTCCATATCGAAAGGAGGTTAAGCCGCAGACGTTTCACGCGCGAGACAACATCTCCAACTTCATCACGTGGACCAAAGATTTGGGTATCCCGGATGTATTGTCGTTTGAAACTGACGACCTGGTGCTCAGGAAGAATGAGAAGAGTGTTGTGTTGTGTCTGCTGGAGATTGCTCGGATCGGGGCCAAACTTGGCATGTTGGCTCCGACCTTGGTACAGATGGAGGAGGAGATTGATGCCGAGATAGAATCGGGGGAACCCCCACCCCAGATAATTACCTGCGACATCAAATCTCTGGATGAAATGGTAAGTCAATGATGTTGATGTTTTGTTTTTGATATTTAGGTCACACAGTTGCCGTTTTTAGGTAGACACCGTACACACTATACATACAGCAATGTCCCCCTAGGGCTGCTCATGGCAATAGTCCGTTAAAACTGCCCACGCTAAAACTGGGACATTGCTTAATTTACCGGAAAATTTCATTTTGATGTACATAAAATCTGATAAAGTTAAAGGTGGTTTTGATCAGATTAAATTTTTATGTTCCCTATCTCTAAACGTTTAACAACAGCAAGACTGTGTAAAACGAACCCCCAAACACAGTTAAGTATACATGTGGTACTTGAAATCGTTTTATTTTTTCTGAATGTGTAATGTGGAACATGTTTAATAGCTTCTGTTCATTGCGAACTTCTTATGTTATTTCCTGTAAAGTAGCGGTAGCAGAATTGAATTTTGAAGTCTGTGTTTTCATTATCATTAGTAAAATGACAAGCATATGATAGATGAAACAGAAGTTTGGAGTTTTCTTGACAACACTAGTTCTGGAATAAAGAACAAGATGTATATTGGATGCCTTAAAATCTGACGTCGTTATGTAATTTTAAGTAGCCAGTCTAGAGGGAACTATTTTGTGTCTTTGCAGTAGTTATAAGGCGCGGAGATGGGCAATTTGACAGCTAGGGCTGACAATTACACGCATCACGATGCAAAATACATGTTAAAATGATGCGTATTATGTTTCTTTTGTTTTGTATGCAAAACACAACTTATTATTACGGGCAATAAATCTATTTCATACCTGAATTGTGTTGAACAAATAGCAGACGATCGCACACCCGGTGTTTTTCGGCATATTTGGAAGGGTTAAACCTATTCATTACCCCGTTTAATCAATACTTGTGATACCCTCTTTTAAAGTTTTTTATTGCTTTATATAATTTACAATGCCAAACGACTTTTCAATCCCCTTTGTAGCATTTGATGTCATGCCAGAAACTGAAAATTAGGTATGGAAGCGCGTTTCATACCATGCTGGAAAGATGTATGTCCTGCTCTGTACAGACAAGTTTAAGACCATTTCCTATTCCTTCAGAATAAAATTAATTAGGGTTTTATTTAGATTAAGCCTCATGCTGACCTAAAAGTTTGGATAATCTCTATTAATATTCAATTAACTTCGGGCAGTAATTGCCAAAAAAGAATTAGACAAGTTTGCGTATGGATTAAACACAGATATTTAAACTTTAAGATTAGTTATGTTAGGATTATGCGTTTTCCACTTTTCATAAATACATAAATTCCAGTTAAACGTTGAATTTACTCATTAATCAAGAAAGGTCTTATTTTAAGAAACTCGTTAACTAGTGTAATAACCGTGACACCTTTATTCAGTAATTACTGTCACATTTCTAAGAATAACTGTCAGGTCGTTTTCTGCGTAAAACTTTTGCATGAAGGACATCTAATACAGAAAAATTATGAGGTTGCATCCTTCAAACCAATCAGGTAAATTACGCAAAGTCACTCACTAGTGAGAGTATCATTTTTTTCACAAAAAATTTGGATCCGCCACAGACTTTGTTAAATGGTCTTTACTTTGTGCTGTCACCTGCTTTGGTTTGTTTCCGGATGTATGATAAGATTGCATTTTGTTCCATTAACCTGAGTACGCGTAAGGTCGCGGTACCGTTACCCACGGTAAATCGGTGTGATAATATTATTCTACATTAATAAAGCAGAGGGCTTTCTCCGGATGTCACCCTTTACTTGTCCATTCAGAGTTTAAACAATTAAAATAGAAAAACAAGCACTTTTAAATTTCAAATAAAGAGATGACAAATAAATATTTTGAGGCAATTGTATTTCTCTTAATTTGAGCTAACACACGAATTTTGCTTAATGTTTATGGAGAGATTATAATTACGTTTTCTGTTCTAGTTTTTTTCCCTTCTTCTGTAAGTCGATGTTGTTGACGGTATATTCCTTTCTGACATGTTTTGTGTATTTCCCTTTTCTCCAGGTAGATAATACATTATTTGAAATTACCTGTCCCCTTTGTCTGTCTTTTCCATTGAAAGAAATACACAATTCCCCTTTAATCTTTTGTCACAAAAAGCTATTTAATCGGATCAGCTTGTTAGAAAACAAAACAAGCTATTATTTTTTGACATATTTTGGGCTTATTATGAAAATGCAATTTAGCGAAAAATATATATGCCTTCATTTTCCCTTGATAACAAAAGACGAAATAAAACTTTCATTATCTACAGACTGTGCACATATCTGTGTATTGTTCCAATGAATGGAGATCACTGTCCCATTTTGAAATTGTCCAAACACTCAATGACAAGCCCTATTTGAGTTGTCTATTTGATTTTCAGAAAAATCATTATAATCTTTGCGTCTTCGTAATTGTAAGAAACCGAGGCAAAATTTGCTTTTTTTAGGAGACCATATTTGCAAAGTGGATTCATTTACTTCTTCTTGAAATAACGTTATGTACATTTAGTAAATGTCTATTTAAGATCTCAAGAGAGTGTGAATTGATGCCTTTAAACTTCTTTTGTTTGTTTTATATTCTGAAAGATTTTAAGCATTTGACTCTTTTTGAAGCATTAATTTCCCAACACTTATGAATCCGAAGGATAGGTATTTTTGTAGGGTAGACGAGCACGTTTTTATAAATGAACTTTTAATGCATGTTTCTTGTTTTATGCGGTATTTTTTTTAAATCGCATTTATCGGTGACTTAACATGCAAAATCAACACTCCGACTGCGATTCTAAATATTTCTAAAACAGAGTATAATGGTCCATTATTCCGCAAGTAATGCAAAACAGAGAAAGCTCTAATTTATATCGAATTCATTCGATTAGCGCATTATGAGTAATGCAGGAATTAAAGTTGTGCTGTTACAACAGCACGAAAATCGACATATTGCAAAAACATCTGGCAGAGAACTTTTCGCAGACGTTAAGGCAGACGGAGAGTTCCTCAAAGAGCAGAGGATGTAAATCCATTAAGATCCTTCGACCTTGATCTAATGATTTAACTTGTGATGAGATCTTGAAACTGTCTCCAATGTTCATGTCATACATTGGTGTAGCCGTGTGGATTTTGTTTAAGTTTCTGGTTGTTTTTTTACCATTGCTCCAGAAGCAGTGTTTTTTATTGACTTGAGGCATGTTTCAAATTGTAGTTTGGTCATTAATGTCCAATCTATACAAGCTAGGAACATGCATTGGGATCAGCTGGATTCATTAAAGGATGCAGTGTAGAGATAGTTGGTCCTTTACATAAGATACATTGCTTTCACAATCTACTAATAAAATCGTTATAACATGCAGATATTGTTGAAGTTTGTGTTTGTGAGTCATCGTGTTGTCTCGACCCGCAGTTAACTTCTGTAAGAACATTCTTAATAATTATAAGCTTCTAAACTTTGCAATGTATGCTAAGGTAATAGTTACATAACTGATGGCTTTGAATTTCGAAGGATATTTGTCGTCATGAATGCCCCCGCCACTAAATGTTCTCTGGGATGCTTGTCTGCTTAAAGGGGGAGAGACGAGACATTGAACTAACCAGCCTATATGTTATTGTTTTGGCACTTAAAGTACACTTGTTATAGTGCTTGGATTCACGGTTGCCCGGTACTTTGGTTTTTGAGATGACATTTGATTAAACACGATACAGAAAATTACAAATATCAACGCCCTGCTACTACACAAATATGAAATACGATATTAATGTACATATGTTTTTATCAGGTCAGACGATCTTGTTTGGTCTTTGTAGAGTAACTTATAAGTGGCTTTCTCTTTCTTGTAGTTGTTGGTATATTCTAGATATTGAATATCTTCAACATAAAATAAAATTGTCTGGTTCCTTTTTATGCAACGTAGGTGTTCTATCAAGAATGTATTTAATAATGATCGATTGCATGCCCCCGTTGCGAACAAATTATCATTTGCGAATTGGAAGACGAGAGAAATATGCAGACTAGCTATACGATCCCATTTGATTAATAAAACAGTGAATAAACATAAATAAAAATACCAGTTAAAACATAAAGTTTGACAGTCAGTAGTCATATGTGTCATATTTAATGGATGCGTAAATCATTCCAGTGTCCGCGTTCCAATGTCACTCTACCTGAGCTGGAAGCATATGTGTGAAGATATCTATATGTTGTTAGTGTATTACAAATACTTATATCAGCAGGTGTAAATGACATCGTGATATATGTACGTTACATATTGACATAATCTATTGATTTTCACCATTCCTGATTAACTACGACGGTTTAACACCCCATGTGGGTCCCAAGGATACGTCCTATAGATCATATTGCAATTGATAAAATATTCTTCCTTTCGGATATCATTGGAATTTTCTCAGTAGACTTGTGGTTGATAGAATGCCTTGACCAGACATTGATCTATCATCTTTCATTAACTGTAATATCTAGATGTGACCCCAAACACATCGTAGACTTTGGCAAATCGCCATTTCTTTTTTTTTTCATGTGAAATAGATGCATGTTTTCGTTACAATCAGAAGAATTCTTCTGGCTTGTAAATTTATTGTTAAGTCATGTTCTTCATGTCAAGAGATGTGTACAAATCTATGCACAAATTTCTTGCAAATGATTGCAATGGAAATCTATTTCACCTATTTTTAATGATCAGCCTCGCTACGCTTTATCGCTATGGTGTCTTGCAAAAACGATTTCAATTTGAAAGCTTACAAAATATGAATCATTTTTATCAACACATATGTTTATATTGTGATATTTTTATATACAAGTGGTATTTGCTTGCCACTAGGTCTTGAACCATTTTACCGTTATCATATATATATCGACTGTATCGAGCGAACTTTGGCAGACCTTCAAATGCTCCCTAGTGTTAATAGCAATATTTGTATTCAGTTTGTAAATCAAGCTTTATAATTTTGAATTTTAATGCAAATATACCCTTGCTAAAATAATACTTCTTGGATACTGAAAATGAACACAT